ATTATCCTAGAGGCAAGGCCATACCTACGTTTACTCCTTGTATATTCTTGTATGTTACCACATCTCTCTCTCTCTCTCTTTCTCTCTATTTGTCTATATACACATACACATATATATATATATATGAACGAGGGACCTCTATGTATAATATATAGCGTATTGATTTTCAATTGTTTCTGGTATTAGCTTGAACTTGAACAACAACAAACAACAACACAAAGTGCATTTTTCGAAAACTTAGACAAACATTGAAAAACAAATTCTCATCATAGACCCACACAGTTTCAGCATTATTCTTTGGCGTCAACTCCTTGAGTTTCAATGTCGGTGGTAACGTCTGTGTTGGGAATGGCATGTAGACAAATTGTCAGAAAATAATGGCTCCTGATTCCTGAGGTTGTCACATGTGTAAGCACGAAGGGATATATATATATATATCATGAGAAAATCCGCAGATCATGCCAAACACGCTGCATCTCTGTCGCATTCACAATCACACGAAAACACACCCGGGCAAGACGGTGAAGAAAGGGAAAATGGCGTGGCCAAGCACGTTATAAGGCCGGGACAAAGCGGTGATGAAGGGCCGACAACGCCGACAGACCCGGACAAGGCCTGGACAAGGCCCGGACGAGGCCACAAAACTGTTTGGGGAACAAGGGGAGGACACAAAAGGACAAGCCAGCGCGGCCAGAGGCAGCTAGGAGGACAAGAGGAGGACCAAGATTCACGAGCGCCAGAGGACAACTGCAACGCTCGGCAACTGGATATGCACATCGAGTCTACCAATTTTACTGCGCTGCCCAATTATACAACGCTACTGTACTTCACCTATCCCACAATTGGTACCAAGAGTGTGATATGCTGCACAAGGGGATCGTTATATTGTGATCAAGGTACTTATATATGTATCACGTCTAATTACAGAAGGTCTTTGGAAAGACAAATGCTTTAAGACAAATGCTTTCTTAGCTACCTAAGCTCTCACCATTGCGCACATTGGGCAATATCCTCTTCAGCCACTGTAAACGACCTGCCTTGATGGGACAACTAGCAGTCCCATGTTGATGCAAATCAACAAAAATCAGGTCAAAGAAGTGTCCTTCTGCATGGAGCAAATGTGTTGCTCGCAGTACTCGTCGATGTTCGTTGCCCCAGTTGCAAAGGCCCAGCTCTCCAAGGTCAAGCTGCCATCAATAGAGTCCTTCGCGTGTAGTCGCACGTACTGGGCCACAAGCTGACGTAGGCCTTGGCATTGAGTGAAGATGACGGATCTCGCCGCTGTGGAACTGCAGAAAGGAAGAAGACTTTATACGGCAGGAAGGTGGGCCAAGTACTTTGGTGGTATCTACTATCTACCTCATGCCTTTAATATCGTTTCATCCCCATGTACTAGACATGCTTCAAGTGACAGAGTGGATCCTTCACATAGAAAAAACACATAATATATGTAACATGGCCTGTAGCTTTGAAAAATTCCTCGATGCGAAGCGATCCAAACCCGCATCCATGCGACCACAAAGTCATCGTACTTAATAACAAACAAGATGTTACCCTGCAATTCGAGCTAGAGTGGCAGTAGACAAACGCATAGTCCACATCCTTGCGGTTGAACTCTGCAGTCAAACGCTCCAAAATGCTTTGAACACCAGCATCATCTGTGCATTTTTGCCGTTGAAGCAGCCAAGCCTTCAAGCGGTTTTGGCAAAGTTGGGCCTGCAAACAGCGGCAGTGCAACCGTTGCATGCGTTGCATGCGTCTTCTCATGTCTTCTTCAGTAGCTTCCGTCATTGTCAGTCGTCACCAAATCAACTATCAATACCTTTATGACACAAGCATGCGTCATGAAGTGCCACGAAATGCCACCGTCTGCGTGTGTGTGTGACCTATCGACAGCTTGCTGGAAAACAGGTTGTAAATTCTCATCCAACGTAAAGCAGATTTGCATCCGATGTCTCCTCTTTGCCGTTGCCAAGCTTTTCTAGCAAAGCTTGCAGAGGGCGCTGCAACCCTTGAGCGAAGCAATGTTCAAGCCAAGCGAAGAGAACGGCCCGGTAGTAGCAGTTGCCTGAAATCTCGGACGTCGTCTCGTTCAAAAGCTTGTTGCTGAGACTTGCCGCATCCATATTTTGTTTTTAGTAAATACATTAAACTCTTTAAAGGGCTCTCTGGCTCAAGCAGCACTCCGATCGTGGATTCGATGGAGGAATTGCTTGTCACCCAGACCGATGCAGTAAGGAGTTACCTGTTGCCACCGTTGCTGGCCCACTACACAAACTGTGTACCTTCACCCTGATAGCTGACAATCAATTTCCACTTTCCTTTCCCTCCAGGTTTCTCCAACATCTTTCTGCAGAGCAACCATCTCCACGAATAGGCCGCCATGCTTGAAAGCTGGCAGCTAAGCTTGCGAACTGCTGCTGAAGATTGGCGTTGTGGGGGAACTGCTCCTGGCGAGATATTCATGTTCGGCCTTTCAGATCCGCCTGTGCAAACTCCATTCCAGTCCTTGCCTTTGCCTTGAAAACGGGTGGTCTCGGACAGGATGCAACATTACAAGTACATTGACTGTTTTCGCGTTTTGTAGTACTTCAGCGATCTAGATCAACTTTCAGCTTGTCAAGGCAAATCCGCATCCTGGAGAGTCTCGATGGGAAGCAGCTGCAAAACATTGGCCTGACAGGACTGCATTGAGCGACATTTTGCAAAGCACACGGAGATCTTTTAAGGAGAATGCTTGGTGCCATGCAGGGGGTTCGTGCCTTTCTCGCTTGGTATCATAGCCATCCCACAGTAGTCTATGGGAAATCCACACATCTTCACTAGGAATCTGTCAATATGTTCAACACATTCTCTATATATATTTTTACTCTATTTTCATGCATTGTTTTCTAACAACCCCCCCCAAGGACCACCAGCATGGTTGTTCACCTTGTCCACCCCTTCGAACACCTGGACCTGTGCAACACCTGGATACGTGTCCAAGCTTCTCCGATTGATAGTCAAGCAAAACTGAGGCTTGTCCTTTGCTGATGTTATATCAACGGTGGCAACTGGAATAATTCTAAATGAGACACAAACATTGTCGAATTAATGACGCACTGTTGCAATTGTTTGTTGTTTCCTCCCTTTAAAGCCTCCGACCTGTGGACTGTCGAACTCGTCTGGGATCTCCTCTGAGAGCTCCTCCTCCTTTTCTTCTACCCGGAGTCGAACACCGGTGACCTTGCAAGCACATAGTCAAGTGCATTTACAAGCCAACTGAGGGTCATGTTGACTCACTGTCAAATAGACACTTGAGAAGGGGGGACGATAGCCAGCAAGAAAGGGCCGGCCCACAACTACGGTGCAGGAAGCCCCTTTTCTGCAGAGCGCCGGCCTACAACTACGGGCAGCTCGCAGTATTGGATGCTTCTGACTTGGCTCTGGATCCGAACCGCAAGCATTAGAAACAAGAAGCTACTAGGAACAAGTGCATCGCTTCTAGTAACAAGTGCATCCCTACTACTAGTAAGGCACTTGTTACTAGAAGCGATGCACTTGTTCCTAGTAGCTTCTTGTTTCTAATGCTTGCGGTTCGGATCCTCTATCCGTAACATCCCTGCCTAGGTGGTAAACATCGCCGGAGAACCTTCAGGGGTGGCGCCACTTCCCCCCCATAGGCTCCTGGTTTATGAAGGAGTCGTTCGTGGTTGGGGGTTCCTGAATTGGTCACACACTGGCCCCCCCACATAGATGCGCAAAATGGCCAGGGAAGCTCGATATCACATGGAGCCGGAGACCGCTAGCGTTCATTGTGTCTATATCACAGTTTGGCAACTGTAGTGCCAAGACTGGTCATGATGAAAGTGAGAGCATTCTGGAGTCAACCTGTTCGTGCTTGGGCACCTAGGTGCCAAAAATAGCTCCGTAACGTCGAGAGCACACGGCGAAGTCCGCTACCGTTCGTCCTTAGAATCACTAGACACCTTGTACTCCTGTATGTTTTTCCGTCTTGTGAAGAAGCGAGCATTCTGCAGTCGCTGTTCTTGGTTGGGGGTTCCTTGGTGAATGCCCAAAGTGCCCAACTTTATGAAGTTGCTAGCTCCCTTCGTTTATCGGACAAAGATCACACAGCAATGTCCAGTGATGCCGCAACAACATCGGCTTGCATCTTCTGCATCACCAACTACCTAACGCCTCCACCAAAAACCATTGACCCCACCAGGCTATGATGAATTTGCCCGGTAGGTGTATAGTGCATAGTCAGTGGCAGCGCCAGTGACGTCTGCCAATGTACACCTGAAACCTGTGGTTGGCACTCTCTAAAGCCCCACCTGAACACCGCTCCATGAGATGGACTGCGATGAACGTTGGGCAGGCCATCGTTTCACGGACATCTGTGGAATCTATTATACGGATCTGGGGCATATCAATGCACCTCTGGTCTCTGGATGCATATGGCAATTCTGCAACTTCTACTGCAGCGACCTTAAACAATGGCCAAAGTTTGGTGTTGAATGCACTGAATATGCACTGTTCATGGGTTGCGAAAGCTTAAATTTGGCAAAATATGGCAAAATAAAGGCAGGTCTTATGCCCTTTGGTTCAAGATTTGCCAATGTCTGTAAACTCTCTTGAAATCACAAGCACAATAGCATGGGCCCACTGGGCATGGGACACAGTGCAATTGCGATCCAATCAGCAATTTCGAATCCCTACTAGGGGCTCCTGGCCGTACTACTAGGAGCAAGTAGCTACTAGTAACAAGAAGCCACTCGGGACGCTACTAGGGGCTCCTGGCCGTACTACCTCCAGATTCCAGATTCGGTTCTTTCAGCTACGCTCGCCAATCAGTCTTTGTCGCCGAACTGAGCTGATGAGCCCACGTCGCTGGCTTTCTTGCACAGTGATCCTGTATCACTTGGCATTTGCTAAACTGATAAATATCGAGGATATGAGTATGTCTCAGACTACATCAATGACATCACCTGCAGTTTCTATTTTACTGTTGAACTCTACCAGGTAAGCCACGAACCACACTCATTTACTGTTCTGGAAAACTCTTTCAATCAAGCAAAAGCTAGTGACTGGGTGTCGGCTACGCTGAACTCACAGAAGGCATCGGGACGTCCATGGGCCAATCGATATCCAATACCACTGGACGTCTGGCGAGCCTGGGCATGGAGATTGTGAGCTTTCATCAAAATTCCATCAATCTCCACGACTTACAAACTAGAGCTGTTACTGCGTATAAAGCATGTCACCAATTCCGGCCAATGACAAAAAGTGAGGACAAAAACACAAGTGCTGCTGCCAAGGGAACGCTCTGAGAGCTCTGGGGTTCTCTTTCACAGAGAGGTCGTATCCGTTGATGGCTGTCACAACCTTGCATTCTAAGAACGCAAGCCTGTTTAGAATTTTCAAGGGGCAGCGGCGCAGCTATCTAAAATATTTTTATGCAAAGAAGTCATTGGATAATATCTGAAAATAGCAACATGAGGTTAACAACAACAGCACCACTTCTAAAACCGTTTTGAGACAAACGCGAGGTTACCCACAAACGGTCTTACATTTTGACACACATGTAAGAAGCAAGAACACACCATACATATTAGGAAATGCCCAAGCTGCAGCTTGACCAAGGCTGCCGTAGGACAAGGCAAGACTGCCTTCCTTGGACCCCTATCCTGCAGCTCCCGAACCGTTGTTTTAGCCACACTATATAGCTACCGAAACACCTTCCTTTTGTTCTTCTGTTTGAGGGATTGGCCAAACTAAAAAAATCAATTAGGCTTCCTCGCGTCTTTACGGGTGAAGGACATTGGACGTCAAAACCCATCTCGCAAAGCTTATCTATTTCTCTACGAGAAATGCAATCTAAAAGCATTTGATTGCATTCATCGTCCTTGTACACGGAATGCGCATTAGTGGGCACACTTGTGGTGAACTATATCATATGAATCATGAATCACATTGAATCACTCCCAGCGTTTGCTCGCCAAGAAGCTCCGCCCACTGGCACCTTGGGAGCCTTCCTTGCCGCCAAGGTCCCATCACGCACCTGTCACAGAAGGGGTCAGGGTTGATGCAAGTTTTCTTTAGTTGTTGTTTGTTGTTGTATGCTTTTTCTGCTCGGTCTGTCTTTCTTAAGACCTTTATAGACTTTAGACCTTTCCTCCTTTCTTTTTTGTTCCGGTTTCTACCTGCCTCCACCTTCTACCTCATCCCACCATCGCCTCGAGGATCCATGGTGGCACATCCCGTGACAAACGGATGCCCAGGAGGCCCTCGTCGCGAAAAGTGTAGCGGACCTTGGGAAAGTCAAATCTATTTGGATGTACTGTACTTCAACTTGAGTCGAGTCCCCCTCAAACAAATGTGCACGCAGGGTTGATGTAGAAACCAAAGTGTGGCATTTCCTTTGAGAGAAACGGCGAACAAAAAACAATTCCGGACAATTCCATTAACAACTGATCCAAGTGATGGGTGGGTCGAGCTGCGATGCCTTTCTTGGGCGGCTTGCTGAGGTTCTCCTGACGGCGCATTGGTGAGTTCTGTGTGTTTTACTCCTGCGTCGGTCGCTTTTTATTTGTTTTGGTGAGCGAGTCGTAGGGTAGTTGTGTTTTTGAGCAAAACATGCATTTTGAGATCCACTCACTGATCACTTTGACCCTGGCTCATACCACAATGCATATAATGCAAAAATATATATACAATGGATTACGTTTCCTAAAAATCTAGGAACCAAATCATTAGTGCAAGCGCTTCTTCAAGGAAGCTCCCCCTGCCCTCAGGCGGGGAGGGCTTCCTCGAAGAAGCGTGAGCTATCCTGCAGCCTACCTGGAAGCTTACTTAAGCTACTTCTTCCTCTTAAAGCTTCCCCCCCCCGCGGTTAAAAAGGAGATCACACATCTTGACTGAAACGGGTGCATGTCCTGCGCTTGTTGCTTCGTCGCAATGTCCTGGCACTGAGTTTTGCCCCTCATTCTCCGGAAGATTGTCCGGAAGAGTGGACTCAGTGTCATTGCAAACTGCATCCACATTAACCTCCAAAACCACGGCATGTCAACAAGAAAGCATTGGTCTTGGTCTACAGATGTCTACGCTATGTTGAGACAACAGCATTGCACTGCATGATAGTAATTGGGGAGTTGAAGACAAGCCGGTACTCCAAGTACCCAAATGGCCCTTTTAGCAATTCAAAGAAACTTGGTGACCGAGTCTCTGTCGGTCGACACCCCTCATCCGTCCGGTTGCCTCTTGTGTCTCCTCCTCTTCATCCTCCTCCTCAAAGAACAATGCGCAAGCACTGCTTGTTTTTGTTGCAACATAATCTAGGAACCAAATTAATGAATAACGATCCTGCGTCCTACCTAGGAGGTTACCTCCTTACTTCGTTAAGTATGCGCCTACTTAACTGAGAAGTAGGGGGCCAGGGCCTTTTAAAAATGATGCACAAGTTTTCCAGGTTGCCAGCACTTATCCCTCTAAAAGCATCATGTCACCAGAACAACGGGCGACCAGTCTTCCTCACAGTTTTCACTCCAAGCAGTTGCTTTCATGGGGCTGGCAGCAAACTTGTGAGGTGGGGATGTCTCAAAAGATGACTCCATGAAATGGGAAAGAAACACATATGACACATTATGATATATCGTGAAAAATGGTATGCCCCATATGCCATCGCGCCTCTCTGGAGACCGGTGACTGCGCAGTGGGACTGGCAGTAGCCTCATCCCGCCTCTCAGGCTCTGTCTCCGTGCGAGCCTGGGGCATCTTGCACATTGCAGTGGGAGCAAATCCGTGATGTTCTTTTTCTTTTTCTTTGTTTCTAATAGCGATGGCCTCCACCCTAGTAGCGATTGGCCTCCAACCTACTAGCTTCTTGCTGCTCTTTCTTGAAGTATTATTTCACTTTGAAGGGTAGGTCTTGGGTAGGTAAGGTGGTTACAAGTAGGACACGAGACTAGAGGTAGCATCTGGGCGCAGTAGTGCGGGTGGCAAACGTTCCCGGAATGCAACGGTTCCTACAGTAGGTATTTAGGGACAGTAACCTTCAGACTGTTTGATTCATTTGTTTCTTTCCGTCCTGCACGCAGGGAATTATCCAACTCCCCGCGTCAAATGCATGCCAGTCATGCAATTCTAAATACATCCACAAGCAATCTGCTTGGCCTTTTTTGCCGATGGAAAGAAGTCTGCGTTGGCATTGCCAAGCCACACCACACTCTCCTCAAAGCCAGCATAGACAAATGCGGTATTCCAAAGGAAAACACACCCGTTGAATTGAGTAACATATTTAGGAATCCTTGCATACCAAAGCAGAATGGACACCCGGCAGTGATTTAAACAAATACATATATAAAAATGGTTGACCCTCGGCAGCTCCTGTTGGACTGATACGAAGTTGAACATGTAGGCTCTACAGAGGGGTGAGCAACACCCATTGCTCCAAGTGCTCTTTAGGCCAGCTCTATTACATGTTTTGGGGTGTTCCCTTTCAATAGGTGCAACAAGCAATGAACCGATCCCCCACATTTCATGTATCCAGGTGGCTCACTATCGGTTTAGGGGCATCAAGTTATCCACATTTTGTCCAAATGTGTGGACAATCATTACAAGCGCGCTTCCACCACCAGAACTAACAAGCTTTCATCTCGCAGAAGAACTTGAACGAATTGTATCATTCTCAAGTCAATGCTCTAACATGGTGTTTCACTTCTGTGCTCATGCCAACGGAATAACACCGAGAGTTAGTTGTAGTAATCGGATGGTTGTTCTTCCGCGTCAATAGGTGTTTTGGAAGAATTATATATATGTATATGTATATAAGATAGTTCCAGTTCCAGTAATTCATTGCAACAAGGCGCATGTCCACAATAATTACTCCTCTGGAATTGAATCCAGAGTTAACTGTTCTTTTTCCATGGAATTAGTGGACGAACTACATCCAAAGTTATTAGTTCTTTCTGACAGGGTGCTTCTCCAGAATGAAGCTCTGGGCAATTGCCTCAAAAAAGTGACTATCGTGTAAATGTGTATCCATCCAGAAAACAACATTCCCAGAATACTTTTTCCCAGACTACTATCCCAGACTTGCGGCCGTGCATGAGGGCTGCAAACGTCACCCCAGGAAAAATAGCCTTCTGGTTGAGTTTGTGGCGTCCTATTCCGGTGTCTGATCTGGATAGCCGTTGGGAGGAGCTAAACCAGGAGCCATTTTCTTTGCAAGTGAGTCAGTGAACACAGGCTTTGCTTTGATATCACCATGGTTTGTTTGAACAACCTTCCTGGTCGAATTTGCGGTCTTTTTCCAGTTGGCAAAATGGTCACTAATCACAGGCTTTGCTTTAATGTCGCCATATCGCCATGGCTTGTTTCCGTGGAAGCATTGCTTGCAGAAGAAAGCTCTTGGAATTGCCGGTTTGGTTTGTTGCGAACTCGTCGGCGTTGGGGGTGGGGACGGTGGCTTCGGACTGTTCCCTTGTAGAACAAAAAGTGATGATATAGGCATAGGTATATTCTGGACTGAGAGAGAGGTTGATGGGAAGAGAGAGCTGCAGAAACATTGGTTGTAGGTAGGTATTATTATATGCCCAAAGAAATTGTGCGCACCTATTTTAGTTGTTTGATCAAGCAAGCGATGTTACAGTGCTTTAACACTTTTGGCACCTTGCTTTCACTTTGCTTGATGCTTCTACCAAGCTGACGGTTTAAATTGCAAACGTATTGTTTGTATATATAAGTGTGGTTTAACACCTGCTGTTAGGGACAAAACAAAGTCCAACCACGTCGGGGAGGCAGTTTAAAATAGAAAAGCAAAGCCTGCAGCTATGACCCGTGATTTCCGAATATGCTTGACCACAACCACCAGATACACAATGTGCCTCAATACTTCGATGCACGCCTTTCCGGAAGGTTTGTCCCAATGAGCTCTGCAAGCCAGTGACGGCACCAACATGGATGTTGGTCTGAAACGTCCACCAGCCTTTGACAAATCTCAGCTGTCCTTCAAGCGCTCCGAGTACTGATGCCATGTGGCAAAGTCGTGTTTCTTCAACGCCTGGGGAGAGAATACCAGTGCTTCCCAAAGCCAAACATGACTCTTAGGGAGTACTTTGCTGCCAAATTGAACAAGATGGCTCATTATAGAAGTGAGCCGCTGGGGAGGGCAACATGCAGCTATGACCCAGGAACCATCATTGCACCGTGTCCATTTCTCTACCAGTTCACAACACTTTTACTCATTAAGCCTATCAAGTCACGAAAAGGTTAAGAAATGAAAGTGTGTAAGACATTGAACACAAAGAAACAGGTTTAGTCGAATGAAACAAGCATGTCGTAGTTTGACCAGAAGTGATGAGACAAATACTATACCGAAGCTTATACCGAAAGGCAAAGTAGCTACAACTCCCACAGTCCTACAGGGGCGTCCAAATGAATGTCGTGGGCATGACAAGTCTTTGCATCGTTACTTCTTGTTACTAGTAGCGTCCTTTGCTCCTAGTAGTACGGCCAGGAGCCCCTAGTAGCGTCCTTGCTCCTAGTAGCGATGCCCTTTGTTCCTAGTAGCAAACATCAAGTGGAGGCCATCGCTGCCATCGCTATCTTGAAGAGGCGAAATACTGCAAAGCAACGAGCAGGATCCCTGCGAAGCCGTGCTCCGAGCCTCCAAAGCTAACTCTCCCAGGGCTGCATCCTGGGCGAAAAGGACTGGAAACGTGGCACAGTGACCTGCTCACCATGGGTTCAAACATGGTTGTCCATGTTGCTTTCGCATGCCTTTGCTTGTCAATGAATGCCGTGATTTCGACTTGTAGCTTGCAACCTTTCCCGGTCAGGGCTGCTCGCTGCGTCTCCTTGGATAGAGCCTTTGGTTCTTTGACCTGGTCTTTGGATGCCTGGCCACAGCTACGAAGGGGATGAATAAAGCTCAATATGGGTCAATATGGATCCATAGGGTGAACCGACATCAATGTCGCATCTCTAAATACACAAGCGACATCAATGCCTGCAGTTCACGTCTGGGGAATGGACACGGCGTCGTGCCTTGCGTGGCGCAAGGTGGGAGAGTTTCTAAAACCGGCCTTCAATGGCGTTCCGTCTCCTATGGCTTTCTCCCAAAGGCCCCTAGTGCAATCAGCCCCTAGTCAAGAATCCTAATAGGATGCACACTCACTTAAGGAGGCTGCTCCTCTGTGGAGCCACTTCCAATTGGTCAAATCAGCGTATTGTTCAGGAAACTGCAAACAATGTTTCGTCAGGTTGATATGGATTCAGGCCACTCCTCATTCAAAGGAAGCAGTGGAGGGCTAGATATGAATCCAAAGCTATGTTTAGCCCCGGAAGCACTTTCTTGGGAAGAATTTGTAGAAGGCCGTCTTTGGGAACTTGATGAAACTTCCTTATCAAGCTTTTTCCAAATATCCTATTTGAAGCCCGACTCGGCGACGCCTGCGGGAAGCTGTCGGAGGTCCTCCTTTTTCATTGCATCCATTGGGCTGAGCCTCAAATGGATGGACAATCAAAAGAAAGAAGGAGAGTCAGGTACTTTGGAAAAGAGGTGATGATGAGCAAATCATGATAATTAGAGAGATTCCCAAATATCCTTACTCTGGTCACCTAATTCCTCTGCTGATGGATCGAAGCGCTTGAACACAAATTGAATGACCTAAGCACCACTCTTGTCTGCCTCAAGGGACTCAAGTGGCAATGGATCAAGCTTGAACTGAAAGGCTAGACAAAACTAGTAACAGCGATGGTCTCCACCCTAAGAGCGATGGCCTCCACCCTAAGAGCGATGGCCTCCACCCTACGAGCGATGGCCTCCACCCTACTAGCGGTGGCCTCCACCCTAAGAGCTATGGCCTCCACCCTACTAGCAATGGCCTCCACCCTTATAGCAAATATACAATTGGTTGATCTCTCTGTCATCTCTCGTTCCGGATTTTCTGCTTGGTGTTGCGACGACAGCGCGTGTAGCCACTTCCGCTTGGAAGCCACATGGGCGAGACCTGGACGATGCCAGTGGACCCATCAGCTTTATGGACACGACACATGTTGACAGCTGTTTTGATCAATGTATGCAACATGCAATTTGCCACAATGAATGCTTCTACAGTCTACTGTACAGTCTAGATTGAGGAAACTGCACAAAACACGTGTCTATGTGATCTACCTGTGCTAAATGACTTTCGGCACACTAAGTCCCCTAGGGGCAGTACTTAGTGCGTGGCAGTGCATGGTAGTATAAGTTTCTGCACAAAACAAAGACACAAACGCAACCTTCTCAAAAATCAAGCAAACATCCTCGTTGCATGTTGTATCTTCGTGAAGCTCTCCAACCACCCTCAAAGAACTCCCGCGCCTATGCACCTGCAGGCATGTTCTCTGCGAGGAGCCTTTCAAGCGAAAGTCGCTTCCCAGTCGACTCGAGGGCGACAAAACAAGGCGTGCCTTGAAGGGTGGCCGTTGGTAAAACAGGTCAGCGGTCCCGAAGAGGTGGTAACCTGTCAAAACCCGGAGAGGCAAACGCACATTCCTTGCAAACATACTTTGCAAAGCAGTTCCTCTTTTGGGCTGGCTGCTTTTCTTCTCTCTTCACATCCTTCTGCCTTATGGCCTTACGGCCCTAGTCAGAGCCCCGTGCGTGGCTCAATGGCGCAACACAGCTCTGCCAAGGGAGCTGCAGCCACCTCCTGCGACAAACACAGGCACTGTCGATACGCAAAGTTACATAAACGAAAGCGAAAAAACAAAGCCCACCGCTGCCACAACATCCCAGTACCATGTACATGCATAGGCCGTTTGCATGCTAAAACAGATTCATATTGAAAACATCCCCTCGGCATCATGTGTGGCGCTCCTGTGCTCCGCGTTTCACATTCAAACCCAAAGCCAGCGCAACGAATAATGTAATCTACTGTGCACCTGCACTCCACCCTCAAATCAAGTTGTCTGACAGCCTGCCATGGGCGCGTTTCTGCCACTTGGCTGGGCTTCGCTTGCTCCTGCTTTTGCAATTTCAGATTTCTCACCAAATCTCTGCACTACCTTGCCTAATCTAGCTCGCGCGGGGTTTGTCAGCTGGGCTGAATGCTAAACCTGCTTTCTGTCAGAGCATGTCCCTGGGATCCAAGCTTTACACAACAAGCTTGCAGCAAAACTGCAGAAGTCGTTCATTCGGATTCTTTCAGTGTCAGCTATGAAACATCCCGAATGACAGCCAAACTCCGCTTCAGGATTCACACCTCCAGCTTCTGATCCAGTCCAGATGGCCAGGCAGTAGTAAGTAGCACATCCACGCCACCTCGATTTGAGTGAGGAAAACGTTCTTGATCCTGGGAAACACACCTTATCTCTGTTGCCCAAACTAAGAAACATACTAATTACGACTAATTGGTGCTGTTGCGGTTGACCTGATTTGTCAACCGTCCCAACTCTGGCATGGATTTGGAACTTCCCATCTAAGCCAACCTTTTCATCATCATCAGAACCTCCCCACGGGTGAAGTGAAGATCCACTCAACCCCACGCTAATCCCTCGGCTACTCATTCATTTCCTCTTTCAGGTCCCGGTTCAAGGCGAGCGTCGTCTCCACTTGTCCTCAGCCACCAGGCACCTGAGCTCAAGGAAGACTCAAGGTCTTGGATTCTTTGGGCGGACAAATTAGCTTGTGTTACAAAAGTCAGAGCTTCTTTATAATCATCATAATGCATCATTGTTTCGCGCCATAAGGAACGACAGAACCACCGAACCACTGCTGTCTCGGCCTCAGCCTCTTCACCGCACGAGCAGTGAAGGCTCCACCCACAAAGTCCACGTCGGGGGTCTCGTACCTGACTGGTGCAGCGTGCTTTTAAAGAACAGGCAGAAAAAAGACCTAATAGCAATCCCAACTGCAGCATTCTTGTTAGGAAGACGCGTTCCACGTCTCTATTGAACCTCCTAAAAATACTTCGGACAGCAATGCTAACTTGTTCCCCACAAGAAGCAGCAAAACTGTTTCCCACGAAAATAGTTTCTTGGCCCTAGTGAACGGTCCAGTTGGAACGAGCGACTTTGCAGCATCGTAGTGGCCCGAGAGGAAAGCAACTCGTAGGCCGCAGATCCTTCAGAAAACATGTCTGGAAGGAATATTAACAGCACACACTCATTTGAGCGGCTTCGAAAACCGCCTACTTTTCTGTATAATAATGCTTTGCTTTCGCAGGGTTTTCGCAGAGCTTTCGCGACCTGCGTTTTGGCTTTTGCGGAAGGTGTCGCGTTACGGGGGGCTTTCGCATTTTCTTTCGCGACGATAAGTTTTCGCTTGAGATTATATATATATAGGAAATGCGACTTTCGCGAAAGCTTTCGCAGCACTGGTTCTTATAGGGAGCTTTCGAGGGCTTTCGCAAACCTTTCGCGACCTGTGCTTTGGCTTTTGCGAAGCCTGTGAGTTTTAAGTTTGTACACTGTTCATCATAGAGGATTTCGAAGTTGCTCAGTTGTTTTACTGTCAGCCCTAGGTTCAAAGGCATCCCTGCACTGCAAGACCCAACTGTGGATCCCTTGGCTTTTTCAAGGCCTTTTACAGATTTTATATACATACAAAAAGTAGTTGTGCAACATATACATATATATGTCATATTTATTATATATATATATTATATAATATACTTTAAAGGTGAACGAACGTCTTTCCCGGGTGCGTAGCTAAGGGTTCCCAATTTCTAGTCTGGCGGTCTTGGGGCCGGACCTGTGTTCGCCTTGTCTGTTTTGCTGGTTGGGGTCTCGTCGCGGTGCGTCGACGGGTCGCTATGTCGGACTCTTTTGGAGTTCTTCTGTTGGATTCGTGTGAAATAGCGTGATGTCGTGATGTCTGGATGGTGTGGAGCAGAAGACTTCCGCAGGTGCAGTGTTTCGTGAAGTCAGTCGCTGTGCCGGGATTGGCGTTCGCAGTGCGGTCCTTCGGAGGTGCTGGATGTCGCTGCCGACTCAAAGCTCAAGTCTCAGTGAGAAAACATTGCGATTTTGGTTGATGTGAGTGTGCTCCCAAAGTGTCGAAATCATTCCAAACAATGTCAGAGTTCCAGGTCTAAAAGAACTATAGTTGTGTAGAGTTTCCTGGAGGGTCCAGTCTGTTTCCACGGTGTCATCTTTCCTTCGCTATATTTAAGTCCTTTTCAGCAGGGTATTTGCTCTACAGTTCATTCTGTCCTTCAGGAATTCCAGCCTTTTTGATTTCTGAACTCCCAAGCCTTGCACTGCGTATATGCTACAAAGACTAAAGTCTGGAGTTCAGCCATTTGTTTTCCGATGTAAAAGTCTGTTAAGAGTGCAGCCTTTTGTCTTTGGACGTTTGCCAGGTATTATCTTCCAAGTGTTTGTTCTCTGATTGATTGTAGGTTCATTCACTTGCCTTGGTCAAGCTGGTCTGAACTAGTTCTACTCATCTTGCCTTTGATGCAAATCTTGCTGTAGTTTTGGCTATCAAAGAGTCCAGCGGACGTGTGGCCGGTTAGTAGGGTTTCTGAGGTATGCAGGCTTTTTGGCTAGCGGCGGCTAGCGCACCTTGCATGGCTGGCAACGAGGCTGCAAAAGAAAGGTTTGGGAAAAACATGCTTCATTCGCCACGGATGGATCACAGATCGGCCCTCTTCTGATGAAGCCATCTTTGTGGTGGAGCCACCGTCCAGATTCAGTTTGGATCTGCTATTTGGGCTTCAACCACCACGAGGCGACAGAAAAGGTCACCACAAAGCCGAAGTCTCCGTTAAGGAAGAGACTATGTGAGGATAGAAACCTTGTTTCGCTCGTGGTAAAACTCCGGAGCTCAGCCTGTTCTAGTGCTTGAAAGTTTGGATTGGGACTTTTCCAGATCTTGATGGACTGAAAGGGTTTTCTGCACGCATGACTTTTTGAGGGAAGTCTCGTAAGAAATGCTCGTGCGAGCTCCAGGGTCAATCAGACTTGGCAACTTTCTAGGTGCTAATGTAGTGCTGGAAGCGGCTTCTGCGAGCCCTGGGCTTGGTACCCAGCAGGTTCTGGGAGATCCGGGCTCAGAAGTGGTAACAAGACTGTACCACAAGAGTGTCCGACAAGATCCCACAAGAGTGTTAAACAATGTTTGGCTGTTTGTTTTCGAGTGCGTGTGTGCATTCGGGTTCGTGAGCTCCATTTTGTTTTCTTCTTACCAGGTCTTACAACATCTATGTGGATCAGTCGTGGTCGAAAAAGAAGTCCGTTTCGTGTGGCCAGTGTGGGACGGTCAATGTCACCCTGTATTGAATTATGAAGGAGGACATTCAAGCGTGTGAGGTGGCATAAAAAACAACAACTTTGTCTTGCAGGATTCTATGGGGAAATGGTTGTCAACTTGGAACTTTTAAGAAGAAGAGCTTTTGTCCTACTGGTGCATACTGTATATTCCAAGACATCGTCTTTCATCTTCTAGGCAATAAACAAAAATCCGTTTATATATCTCAGTTTGTTTGCTAACTGAAGCGGTTGTTTAGGCTAGTTTGGCCAAGCCAGTCATTGTCTGGCGATCTCTGTCAAAGGCCAAGCCACGTTCTCACCCCGTAGCCGCCCAAGAAGTGCAAATGCTCACAGAGTGTACCTCAGCACAACACAGACTACTGCCACCTGTGTGAAATGAACAAAGAAGCGGATTCCCATTCCAAACTTATCCTCTCAAGACTGCAAGCTCCTCTGCATACCCATCTGAGGGTGCCACTTGCAAATGCAAAGACATGGAGATCCAAGCGACACTTTCGTAGTCAGTTGACTGCCCATGGCAAAAACTCTCCAAGATTAAGATGGTTCGCGCAAACACTCGTTTTGGGAATTGGAGGGTGAACGATCTCTCTAGCTACAAAGCAAAAAACAATAAAACTATGCCAAGCTGCAGCCCATGGGGGCTGCCTGTAGCAAAGCAGGGCTGCTGTCGATGAAAAAGGTCCTAAGCGCGAGAAAGAAAATGCTTGGATTCCTCAGAAGGTTTGCGTTGTCTGCTCAAGGTGCGACCAACATGCATTTATTTGGTCGATACATGGCGATACAACTGTAGTACGAGGAACACAAATGGTCTTTCGCGGCATAATCGGGAGGGAAATGAACACACCAGTGAACAAATGTCGACTTGAACTTGTTTTCTGTCAGAGTTCTTTTGTTCCGTGCTTGTTTCACGCGCATAGCATCTGCAATGGACCGAGCAGCCCTGGTTGGTGGGTAAATTCATGGCCTGCTCGGATCATAGGGAGTTCATGGAAAAGGCTTGCGAGAACAGTTCCTGATACGGCCTAAAGCTGAGCCAAACCCAAAGGTCATTCCAAGACACTCCAATGGAGGCTTCTTCTCCCCTAGGAAGTAAGGCGCTCCTGGACATTGAATTCTCAACCAAACAAGAACGTAAACCCAGGCCTTAAAGCCTGTCCCCTCCCAGAAAGACCTCTGTGTAATCCACACGTATGTTTGTTGCACTGACAGTATTTCGATGTATTACCCAATCACACTGTTGAAGCTTATGTCAGAAACTTCACGTTCTCCCTCTTGAGCCGCTGGAAAGGCGGTAGTGTGATCCTAACCTTCCGTTTCGTGTTAACTGTTAACCCTCATACAACGTCGTCAAAATCCTAACCTTCCAGATCAAGTCGTTAGGATACATGATCCGATACATGCCGCCAGTTCACTTCTAAAATTAATTATGAAACACTCCTCGCATTTATCCCACCCATTGGCGGGTTTCCTGTTCCTTCAAGCTGGTCCGGCAGCAAGCGGCCGACGCACAAGAGTGCCTGACGATCTTGAGCAAGATGATCTTGAGCGAGAATGAGAGGTTCCAAGAGCCACCCGCCACTGAACAAGAACTGTTGCGTGTGGGTCAATCGAGGTGGTATCACAGCAACGATCCCGTTTCTTGTTGCCAATGCAGAAAAGGTGAAACTCAATGGCTGCTGAGGCTACTGGCGATCCGCAAATGCCCCAAACCCTCTGGTCGACGCCCACCTCGATACCACCAACTTTGGCTGCTTGGGCCTGAGGCTTTCATTGACATATTGAAATCTGCTACTTGATGCATGAGTCTCTTCTAACCATCTCGACCCTCGCTCAATCTCTACTCTAGGTAGATTAGTTGTTTACAAATAAAATCAAATAAATACAATACAGCGGCAAGAGTGGCATCAGTCTCATGTCTTCTGCTGTTTGAGATCTCGTTCCAGGCGTCTTGGCATTGTCTGCCTAGCGAAAATGGGCTCCATGGAAATGCGGGCCAAGACACCTCTACTGTGGAGAACAGTTTCTCCTGAGCAAAGGGGATTGGTTCATAGATTGCATGGAAACTTATCACTCTTCCCTTCCATCCCGCAGGTCCGAGTGTCTAAATTGCCCTTGGCATCACCAGCCACAAAGAGCTTGTGAGGCCGTGCCTGGACAATCTTGTTGGGACAATTGATTCCTGGGATGATTAATGTGTGAGGGCTGTGCAGGAATCGCTTGCTGAAGTGCCTGGTTCCACTTCAAGCATTGAAACATGTTGAGCCTACATGTCAAACATTCCTTTGATTCCCTTGTGTCAGTGCTTCCGTGTATCCTTGTCAATGAGCTGCAATTCATTTCCATCCAAAACCCGCAAAAGGACAAAAGGGACCCAACCCGTCCCACATCTGTCCATCGTCAATTCACCCCATCTCTCCCTACCGCACCTCTTGGGCCAATTTTTCTGCAACTTTTCGCTTCAAGGCCTTAGCTGAAAATCTGCAATCCAGAAACAATCCCCAACCTACCTCGTCACAGTCTGAAGCTTCAATGACGCTTTGAAATTGGCTGTGAATTCAGCGGAGCTCTTTTCCAGGCAAGTCTTTTAATCGTTGGCTTTTCGGTTTTTCGGTCATGATTGCGATGCCGCCGCACTATCCCGGATTGCTGGACAAGCTGCCGCCTCTTTCTCGGCCTGAAGAGCGGTTCCCACTGTTATGGAACAAATATTTAATGTACCAACAACTGTTTAAGTGTTTGGAGGTAGCGCCATTGAGCAAGTGGATGTGTCGAAAATGGGTGGGGCTCCATTATATATGTTAGCTATTTTTTGTTTATAATTGTATATTGTATACTGCAATCAACCCAGCTTGGCAGCCCAACAGCAGGTACAGTAGCAGTTCAACTGACTGGTTTTTTCAACCACTCCAACGATCTGTTGCCAAAGCTCCGATGCAAACCCAATCTATTTGTCGAATGTAAAGGGCGAACTGGGGAGCACGATCGGGGGAACAAACATATGAGCAGGAACTGCGTACCAGGAAAGCGCGTCAGAACAGAACTTAAGAATGCTTTGCAAGAAGCACACCACAAGTGAAAAAACTGTTGCCGTGTGGAGAAGCGTCCTGCTAGGTTCACACAAGCCAGTGGCATTGCTGCGACCGAATCATGGTGTGTAAAATGAATGCTTTGCAATGGAGGCAGGAGGCAAACCACAAAGAAAGATTGCTTCGTAACGGCGACATGGCACACTACAAGCAAACAAGCTGATGTGGTTGCAGAAACGTCCTGCTAAGTATATACATGGAAGTGCCTACGGCATTGCAGCGCGTCTGACTTTCCTATCGGTGTGCAGAAGGAGGAAAGCCCTCCAACGGAGGCAAAACGAGCTGTTGCCTGCGCAGAGACCTTCCTGCAAGGTACGCACAGTTACCTGTGGCCTTGCCGCGCATACAACATGTTTGGCGCTGCAACGGGAGATTGCATTGCAGTGGCACAAACAAAGAAGCTGTTGCACAGACAAGGCGCCCTGCTAAGTACAGGCAGCTGCCTGTGACAAAGATGCCCTGAAACGTACGGCAACTGCCCATGGCATTGCTGCGCCTAAAAGATCGTAGTTTTATTATGATGTTTTGTGGTGGGTGCGCCGCAGTGGAGGCAAGAGGCACACCACAAGTGCAAAGCTGTCGTGGGCAAAACACGCGCTGCTAGGTACAAGCTTCCTGCGCGAACAACATGTTTGCAGCGGCGACACATAGAGCACGACGACCGAACAAGCGGTTGCAGAAACGTCCTGCTGCGTATAGCTGTTGCACAGAACCAAAAGCGCAAAAGCTGTTGCCGGCACAAACAGCACCCAAGGTTCCGGACAGCGCGCACGGTTCTTTAAACAGGTTGCGCACCACTTCCAGCTGAGACAACGCTCAAGGTTCCAATCAGCACCCAGGGTTCCCGGATAGAATTCCAGCTTTGGGGCGCCGTGGCCAAGCCAAGACAGCACCGAAGGTTCCAGGACAAGCTGTGCACCGCTTCCAGTTCCAGACAATGCAAAGACCTACCCATTCTGTTTCCTTTGCACCCACAGTTGCATACGCATAGATGTAGCAATCGTGCACATACAGATACATGTATATATATATATATAGCATAAGTACAATATACAAACAAAGTGCAACCTATCCAGTGCAAATATCAAGGCAGCCAGGTTCCAAGGCGGGACACTAAGCACTGCCACCAAAATCAGTTTCTACGATATCTCCAATATATGTGTTTCTCTGCCCTGGCCCCCCGCACGCAGCACGCAATCCAGTTTCAAGCCCTGTAGTCAAGCCCTGTGAGCAGAGTCCAAAAGTTCCAGACAACTGTAGACTCTAGACTCTAAACAAACTGCACGCTGCTCCCCCGGACAGCACCCAAAGTTCCAGACACCACTTAGGACCTCGGGTTCCACAGAGCGCCCAGGGTTCCAGGAAACTGCACCACAGCATCCAAGGTTCCAGACAGCTGTGGACAATCTGCGCATGACTTCCAGACCAAACAGCACCCACGTTGCAGACGGCACCCAGGGTTCCAGGAAAATCCGGTTTTGGAGCCCTGTGGACCAACTCTGCACCGCTCGCAGCTGCAGAGATTGAAACCCAAGTGCACTCTGCTGTTGGAAATTATGTTTGGAGCGGTTTGGAGAAAAGAACACAACATTCATCGTTCTTTCAAGGAACCTGCCGACCCCACCCCTGTTGCTTGCTCCTGCCTGCTCCTTCTTTTTCTTGTCTTCAGCCTGGCAACGTCGCCGAGGAGCAACCTTTGAAGAACTGAGGCAAATCTCGTAAAGTAGTTTGCCCAAAGCTCATGCAAAGCTCATGCAGTCGACCAAGAATCTTTGTTTCAGAGCGTCAGGGTCTCTCAGGGTCTCAGATTAGAGACTTGATGCTAGGAGGGTGCTGGTCCACTACTTGTATGATTCCGGACTGTCTGGACAGGCTTTCACTCTGTGAAGGGCCAAGGGCCTCCTTCTTGATCCGGTCAAGCTCGGCGTATCCTCTGTGCAGCTTCAATCCCTCTGAGCCGAACAAACATCCTGTAATACGTTCCACTTCAACAATCCGGCACAAAAAACGGATTGTATGAAAAGTTCATGCATCCAACAGCATGCTGCATAGCTTTCAGTTCTTCTTGCAAAGTTGAACTTCTCCAGCTCTGCCCAGCTTGGAAACAACCAAGCGCGTCTCCATTGTCTGCGGCTGAGAGGCGATCCATCATGTAAGCCTTCAGCACTTGGGTGGCGTGCAAATGGAACTGCGTAACAAAAGCGGATAGAATGTGGACAACAACGCAGGTCTTTCAAGAAGGGCCGGCTTGGTTCAATTGCAAATGTTGCGTCGAAGTGTTGGACTGGACACGGTCTCACCTCAGCCTGTTGCACATTCAACCAAATCAAGTACCCCACAACCCCAAATCTTTCTATTTGAGCAAGCGTGTGAGGGATCTCAAAGTCCGAGCATCAAGAACCCACTGAGACTTGCACAACAAATCAATGCCACTGCTCATGTCATGGGTGCCCAGTGCAATACAGTATCTTCCCCTACTACAATCTTCTCAGACTTTTGAAACAATGAAGAATGGAAGACTGGACCTGTCCGCCTGCTGTCAACAGAGGGTCTTCTTGCAGCCAAAGTCTCGTTGTGCTCGCGCTCAGCTGCCCTCTTTCGAGCGCGCTCGCGCGCCTCTTTCCTGAGTCCCACACCACGGGTTTGATCCTTGAGTTTGGAGTTGCACTGAACATGAAATGGGCAACCATCTCAATCTACCAAGCACCCCTATTCTAATGAGAATCATTGGGAGAGCCCTTGAGGCACTCAATTGGACGCTAAGGATCATATGAGCAAATCACTTCTCTCAAACTACAACTAATTGTGGACAGTACGTTGCACCTGCCGTGCCTCGCTTAAATGAGCTGAGAATCATATCATCCGTCATGGTTGAATGGTCTTGGCCTCTGCGAATTTCAACACTATGCTTGAACCCACAAGTGCAATTCCTGTCAAACACAGACGTTGACAATCATGTGCAGCACACTTGGTCTGTGTCTGGGTTTTCAGGGCTTTAAGGGTTCCCCAGTCCCGCACTCTGGGTCTTGAAAAAGAAAAAGAATAAGGCCCCTTCAACAAGGGCGGGATCTCATGTGCGCACCCCGAGGGTGGTGTTGGAAATTACAATCACATCCAACGTGGGGGGCGGGGTTATGAAATGGCAGGCCGCTTTCACACGAACGTCGGTTCAGTCTCCCTCCGTGAGCGGTGCCGCTCAGCGACCATTTTTGTCCGCATCGACCGTCCGAAAATTGCATTATGGGTTGGTTTATGAAATGACTGGTAGGGGCGCAAAACCATATCTATTTCTTTTTTAACCACGTCTCTTGCTTTGACTGCATATCCCGTCTGCCTCCGCCTCCTGGACTTCTCCCCCGCCTTCCTCTCACATCAACTCAACTCACACGTCTACTCCTCACTTTCACTCACTCGCCTTCGCCATCCTTACATTTCCCTGTGCTTTTCTGGCTCTAAAGCGGGTGGGAGGTTTTGCTGACATCTGCTGGCCTCCTGCCCTTGACTTTCCATGCGCTTTGCATCCTCTCTGCCTTCGCGTGCCCTCCTCCTCCCCCCCCCCTCCACTCCACTCCACTCCCCTCCCCTCTCCACTCCACTCCACTTCACTCACTCGCTCACTGACTCGCCTCACCTCGCCTCCTCACTCAATCACTCAATCGCTCATGACTCATGACAGTATAATGTGTTTACCATCTTACCTCACATCTCCTCTCATCATCCACATACACTCATCCACCATCATTCCTCTTCCTGCCACTTTTGCCTCAGCTTCTTGTAAGCACAAGAGCTTCACATCTGGTGCTATTCGGTCCTTTAATCATTAATCTCTTCTCTTTTTCATATTATCTTTAAATCACTTCCATTTCAGCCCCCGCCTCAGCCTCTGTGCTGGTCTGGTACCTGACTCAAGCTATGCGCGAGCACCTGAGCGCAGTGCAAACGACATCACACCTACGCTGCCTACAAACGCGCCCATGTTGTGAGGTAGGTTGGCTGTATTCCACTTTGAAGCCTCTTGCTGGCAGCAAGGTGGTTAAAAATGGTTGAAGCAACCTTTGCTGTCCTCCCATCATGTCTCGTTGAAAGGAAACCAAGCCCAGGCTCCTTCAGCACCCAGGATAGCCCAAATGGCAGCCCCATGCCGCGTGCAAAGGTGCCAACTGAGCTAAAGCCTCAAGATCTGTCAACAGGACTTGGCTGGAGTTGAACATGGGGGCGCCCCCGACCTGAAGAAAGGACAAGAAAGGTCAGTAGCTACTCTTGCCCGGTAGAAGCATGTCAACTGAAGCCGCTTGAGGAAGCTTTCAGCAACTCTTGCCAATTTTGCTGCCTGTGTGAGGCAACTTGTTGAAGCCCAATTTAATCCAATTTGCATTGCTCTGGAGCAAAGAAGCTGCGGCAACATTAAACGCTATTTTCTGCCCACCTGCGTTGAAGTTTGTACCAAGAATCAGCCACAGATTGCAAAAAAGAAATACATTGAATCATTGGATCTTGAATGCCAACACCATGCGCGCCAGTGGTGGAAGATAAGGCCCTTTTCCAACGCCTCGCTTCAACTTAGTGATGAGACTGAGTCACCAAGCTATTGAAAACCTTGGACATGTCAAAAGTGCATATAGAATTCAAACCTACTCGGAATTTACAAATTCATCTCACTGGCTCTACAGGTGCATGAGCATATGCTTCTTTATTCTGGTTCTCACTATGCTTTGAGGACTCTTCCTCTCCCTCTTGCAGCAAGCCC